ACTTAAGTGGACGTCCACTAAGTTTCTTATCCATTGATGATCACTTGATTGAGCTACATTGTGGATGATCCGTTCCGTTCAACTTGATCTACATATTCTAAAACCCCAACACACCAAATTTGGGTTGAATCCGTCATGGTTTGACCCTTCATCCACTCGTATCAATTTTAACGGTTTCGAGTGAATAGAACTTTTTACATGGCTCGACGGAGGATCAAACCACAACGAGTTCACACCAAATTTGGTGTGTTGGGGTTTTAGAATATGTAGATCAAGTTTAACGGAGCGGATCATCCACAATATAGCTCAATCAAGTAATCATCAATGGATAAGAAACTTAGTGGACGTCCACTTAAGTTGACAGAAGTTTTGCTCTATATATATATATATATAAGGTAATGTTTTCCTAAGGTGACACCTTAGATTCCCACCTAAGGACGCGACCTAAAGTCACATCATTCCCTTTTTTTTGCGATCCGCTTCGTTGAACTTGATCTACACGTTCTTAAACCCAAACACATCAATTTTGGGGTGAGCCCATCGTGTTTTGACCCTTCGTTGAGCCATGCAAAAAGTTCTATTCATTCGAAACCGTTAAAATTGCGGTGAGTGGATGAAGGGTCAAAACACGACGGATTTACCCCAAAATTGGTGTGTTTGGGTTTAAGAACGTATAGATCAAGTTCAACGGAGCGGATCGCTAAAAAAATTAGGTAATGATGTGATTTTAGACCGTGTCCTTAGGTGGGAATCTAAGGTGTCACCTTAGGAAAACATGACTCATATATGGGAAAAGTGAATCTAAGGTGACACCCTAGGCTCCCATATATATATAGGGAGAGGTTCTAATAAAAAAATAAATAACTAAAAACCAATCCTAACCCTCCAATCTATTTAATCCAATGGTATTGATTTCAATGGCAGATTTGAAAATAAATACGACTTTACTACACATCAGCTGCTTTTTATTATGTAATAGGGGTAAAATAGGAACCATTTATTAGTGTAAACATTGAAATCACACGGAATAATTAACCCAGACGAATTTCTCTCTCTCCTATCATAAGTCCAACGTCCTTTCACTTCCCACTAGCTCTCTCTCTCTCTCTTCATCTTCTCACCGTAGCTCTCTCTTCATGTGTTCTCACCTGGCTCTCATCTTCTCACAATAGCTCTCTCTCTCTCTCTCTCTCTCTCTCTCTCTCTCTCTCTCTCTCTCTCTCTCTCTCTCTCTCTCTCTCTCTCTCTCTCTCTCTCTCTCTCTCTCTCTCTCTCTCCAAAAGTCACAACATTCTTTACAAGATGAAGACAAGCAGAGGAAAGAAACCCGCTTCTTCAAGAAGGAGTAAAACCATTCCATGTTCAAATATTTTCTTCTTTTTGTTTTTTTTTGTTTTGTTGACGAAAGGTTGATCTTTTGGTGGTCTTGTCGTGCTGAGTTACTGCTGCTGTGCTGTTATGCTGCTAATGAAGTGAAATTAGATTCGCTGGAGTGAATCTAGATTCACTCCAGTGAATCTGGATTCGCTGGAGTGAATCGAGAGCCATATATAGTTAATATTTATTTAGTTATTGTTCACAAGTTGGAATTAATATTTATTTAATTGTTGTTCACAAGTTGGTTGTCTTGTTTTGCTGTGTTGCTGCTGTTGTGTTGTTGTGCTGCTACTGAAGTGAAACTGAATTCACTGGAGTGAATCTGGATTCACTCCCCAGTGAATCTGGATTCATTGGTTGTTTGTTGCTCCTATTTTATGAAGAGACATGCCTATGAAACAATGAATACGAAGGGATGAAGTTTCTTTCGCATCAGTGACTATTTGAAGTGAAGTGAATCGAGAAGTGAATCTTCAGTGAATCTCGATTCACTGAGGTGAATCTCGATTCACTGAAGTGAATCGAGATTCAATGAATTTGTTAGTGTCAAACAAGGATCAAGAAAGGGTTCAAAACTGAGAAAAAATTGATGATTAGTTACTATATCTTTAAATAGTGTTACCAAATCTAAGTTTGTCGTTAACTGTTGATTAATACAAAAGTTATTTTAGTTTGTATATTTATGGATTATCATGTTCAACTCTTATTCTAATATAACTAGTTGAATCTAAATTCATAACGGTGAATCTCGATTCTATCGACAATTTATGAGTTATTTTGAATAACTGTAACCTCAACATGACGCTATCTCGTTTGTATCTTAACGGTGAAGTCAAATTTGTGATTCGGTTTGACTAAAACCAAATAAACCAAATTATCCTCCGTTTTGCATGATAGAGGCATTTTTTGAATTATCGTCTCAATACGACGCTCGTACACAAAGTTATGGCCTTTCAAGGTTTCACAACTATCCAATATAGTTTTTAAAATTTTTACCAAATCCGATACTGAAATGACTTGAGTTTCCATCTTAGCTACCTAAATCTAAAAATAAACAAGAATAATTATATCAATGAACATAGAATCACCATTGATGAATCAAAAACTGAATTGAGATTTAATCTAGATTGAATATTATAATGTTACATCTGTACAGGTAAATTCAGATAGTGGGCAAACATAAATCAACTATTTTAGAGTTACAGATAAACAATATAAATTGATATTCAATAAAATTAATGTACAATGAATCTTAAGTGAAACAATGGATCTAATGGGATAGGTTCTCTTCATAGACTTCAGAAGACTTGCGTTTGCACGTGGATGGCATGGATAAACGGAGATTTACTACAGTGAATCTTGATTCAATGATGTGAATCGAGATTCACTGAAGTAGATTCATTTCAGTGAATCGAGATTCACTGAAGTGAAATCAGATTCATCCCATGTATTCATTGTTCCAGTGTCTAGTCACATAGGTTTATCAACTCCCTGCAAAAAAAAAAAACTAAATCTGTGATTTCTAATTTAATTCAAGAGTATGTAAAACATGACTTTTACTTAAACTAAATTTGTATTTAGTTCAGTGAACATCGATAACTTATATTGAAGCTAAAATATAAGTTTGTATTTAGTTCAGTGAACATCGATTCACTTCACTTCAATTTTACCCTTTACAGCAAAATTTTAAATTGGATGCCCTTTACAGCAAAAGTTTTTGATTCAACAAACTTCCTATCATCAAGCTATAAAATTTTAAACCATGAAAAGATTTTACCTTTTACAGCAAAAAGTTACGATTTTTATGGTAAAAAACAAACACCTCACATAACTGAATCTGGATTCACTGAAGTGAATCTAGATTCACTGTAGTGAATCTAGATTCACACATGCGTGTCTTCATTTTTTAACTGGTTTCTTCAAAAAACAGGAAACTTTTCAGACTAAAAGGTAAAATTTTTCACTTTTTACAACAAAAAGCTACGCTCGTACACAAAGTTATGGCCTATCATCAAGCTATAAAATTTTAAACCATGAAAAGATTTCACCTTTTACAGCAAAAAGTTACGATTTTTATGGTAAAAAACAAACAACCTTTTACAGCAAAAAGTTACGATTTTTATGGTAAAAAACAAACACCTCACATAACTGAATCTGGATTCGCTGCAGTGAATCTGGATTCGCTGTAGTGAATCTGGATTCACTGCAGTGAATCTAGATTCACACATGCGTGCCTTCGTTTTTCAACTGGTTTTTTAACTGATTTCTTCAAAAAATAGGAAAATTTTTACCTTTTACAACAAAAAGCTACGATCTTTAAGGTTAAAACTAAAACTTTTAGACGAAAAATCAAACAAATTTCATAAACTTACCATTAAAACGTCAAAATAATTTAACGATGACAAAGGTTGAAGACGGTGGTTGAAGATGAAGGTTGAAGACGAAGGTTGAAGAAGACCGTTGATAGAGATGCAGTTGAAGGCAAACGTAGCATTAGATAGGTTGGGATGAGTTTTGGAGAGAGAGAGTTGCCGTGACTTTTTGGATAGGGAGATGTTGAAGAGAGACAGAGAAAAAGAGAGTTGCTGTGATTTTGGAGAGAGAGAGATATGTTGTGACTTTTGGAGAACTCAACAGACATGCATTCATTACATCTGACAAGTGGCTGTTAATTTTACCTGATTACCCTTATGCAGCTTTAATCTCAGCCATTGGATGAATCAGGATCCAATGGAGAGGATTGGTTTTTAGTTTTTAGGATAGTGAGGTTTTTATTTGAACCTCTCCCTATATATATATACTATATTATATATATATATATATATATATATATATATAATATATATGAGAAAAATGGAGAAACTTGGTACCAAGTAGCTTGGTAGTGAGGTGACCTAATCTTGTCCATATATCTACATTGGAATTGGTGAAGTGTACTTGAGGCCTATCTTCAATGTGTGATGTATGGACAAGATTCGGCCACCCTCTACCAACGTAGCTTAGTACCAAGTTTCTCCATTTCCTCTCTCTCTCTCTCTCTCTCCTCATCTCTCTCTCTTCTCTCTATATATATATATATATATATATATATATATATAATATATTATATATATATATATAATATATATATTATATATATAATGGGAAAAGTGATTCTAAGGTGACACCTTAGATTCCCATGTAAGGACGCAGCCTAAAATCACACCATTCCCTATTTTTTTCCCGATCCGCTCCGTTGAACGTGATCTACACGTTCTTAACCCAAACACACCAATTTTGGGTGAACCCGTCGTGTTTTGACCGTTCGTTGAGCCGTGCAAAAAGTTCTATTCATTCGAAACCGTTAAAATTGCGCGCGAGTGGATGAAGTGTCAACACGACGACGGACTCACCCCAAAATTGGTGTTTATGTTTAAGAACGTGTAGATCAAGTTCAACAAAGCGGATCGGAAAAAACAATTAGAGAATGATGTGATTTTAGACCGCGTCCTTAGGTGGGAATCTAAGGTGCTCACATTAGAATTATTTTTCCATATATATATAATATATATAGTATATAATATATAATATATACTATATATATATATATATATAATAATGGGTGCGTGTGTGCATCTCTCTCCTTTTAATTAAGCTCTTGTTTTAATGGATTTACTTTGATAAGAAAGGGCCAGAGTTTATAGAGATGACGGGAACCTAGATCAACCTTTACCAAACGCTCAATCGGTCGCTATTCCAGGCAAGTCTCAACGAAATTGTTTTGTTTTGTTTACGAGGCTGAATATTAATCGTAAATAAGCAGGAATCTCACCATGTTTTGGCAAAAAAAAAAAAAAGTTTTGCAGAGGTTGGTGTCGCGCTGTCCAAGATGATTCCTCAAATTGGATTTACTCCAGGAAAAAGCTGAAACACGTGACGTCAAGGTAGTTGTTCTCCAAAATCTCTCTGATTCTTCAGCCTTGTAAGCTGTGTCATGATAAATTTTACTAGTGATTATGTTTTTCCTTTTTTTGTGGGGTGGGTTTTTCCCCACTTTTTTGGTTTTTTTTTTTTTTTTTGTGTAGAGGGGTGGGGGTGGGGTGGGGGGAGTGGGTTTGGGGTTGGGGGTTGGTTGGTTGATAAGGAAATGCATAGATATTCTTGGAATTATGATCTTCAACGTGTTTACTTGAAGCAGAAAGAAACATCAAATTTCATGGCTCTTATCTTCTTCACGTATGGAAGAATGTCCTATTATCCCATTCTTATCTAAACAATCATTGACTATCAATATTCTTTACAATCTTCCAGTTCTATGAAAACCAAAAAAAACATTTCTTTCTAAACTCAACCGTTTTAAAATCTTGCATGTGCCTGTAATTGCCTGAGAATTAATAGAAAATAAAAAATAAACACTTGATAAAATAACATAGAGTACTTATATGCGTCTCCTCATGTAAAAAAAAACTTGTTACTAATATTTGAAGCATATCGCTTGGACCAGTGAGAGCATCAGTGAAATAATTCTAGTTGGAATGACGTAAAGTACTTCGACGAGGCAATCAGCCTATCATAAATAAATAAATCATGATGTCATAATCCTTAATTCCTTATGTTCATTATTTCAGAGGTTGAAGAAGGGGACTGTCAAGATTACTGATCTGTGTGAATAACAAGTTACAAATGAACTGGTTTTCAAAGATGGCGTGCAACTTTTTAGTTTTACAATTAATGATTTTAAACTTAAGTGAAGATCAACATTGCAATTGACCTATTTCTGTCTCTTTCCTCAGATGAGATTCCGAAAGAAGTTGTCAAATAACTCGACGGGATGAAGCAACTATGGATCCACTCATGAGGAAGTGGTGTCATGTGACACCTCTTCGTCATGAATTATCATGAGTTATATAGTTTTGCTCTTTGATTCTACTCATGGCCATATAAGCAAATAGACCTAAAACAAATGAAATTGCTTTAGTTCACATTCAGCCCCTAGCAATAGATAAAGTGAACATGTGACCCACTTGAGATACATCCTTGTTTAACTAGGTGAATTGTTAAAAAGATTTTTTTTAATATATTAAGAGGGTATATGTTCTTTGTGTTTGCTTTGTTCTAGTGTTATATGTATTTTTTTTCAAAATATGAAAAAAATTTCAGGGACAATTGTAAAATTTTTAATTATTAATTATGTAGTGACACCATCTTCCAGAAATTCTAGATCCGGCACTAGGATGAAGTCAGCATTTGAGAGAAAAAGTAATGAGACTGCAGCCAGATCTACACAAAGTAAGGGCAGTTCACATCTAACTCAAGAATTGAGCATGGATGATCAGGTTGTTGCTAGTTCCAACACGGATAAGGTATTATTGTTCCCTGTCACTGTCGTGCTTTTTCTTCCAATTCAATTTGCTTCAGTGGAGCATCCTGGTGGAATATCTTTTTCACGAATAAGTGTTGATGTTATGTGTTAACCTCTGAGAAATATCATTTGCTTGTAGTCTTCACTAGGAATTGTTTATGCTGTTTATGTTTATGCTTCATTTATGCTCTTTGCTTCACATGATTCGATAAGGAGATATCAGACCCATCATCTTTTCAGCTCTATTCTGGTGTCAAAATTCATGCAACTGACCGAACACTTGGGATGAAGGCTTTGCTATTGTTGTCATTGTTGTTCATGTTTGCAACCGCCTCTAGTATCATATCTATGGGGATTGTATCCATCAATTTCATTAATAGAGATCCCACATTGTTTCCCTTATTGGGCGAGCTTTGACTAAAAAGAATATGTTTCCTCACAGGTCAGATGCATCAACAGAGTAGATTCTGGAAGATGCAGGTATCACATTCCCTTTCATTCTCATCGTAATTGAGCTGCTGAGACATTTTCCTTATATCCTATATATATGCAGCGGTTATTCTTCACACTCCTAAATTAACCTGCTCGCAGATACAAAATTTGTACTACAACAGGAAATGTTAAACTGGTGCCTGACACCATGAAAGATAGGACTGGATACACGCGGTTTCAGTCTTCCTCTCCAGTATCTCTTACTGATGGAGGATATACTAATGTCAAAGCGCATGTAGTTCAGCACCATTTTCCTTCTCCCATTCTTTCTTGCGTGGAGAGCCCCCCTCTTGTTGGCCATGTTTCACATGTCAATGTTCCTAATTCGACAAAGGATCATGTGGAATATTCATCTGAGGGTTCTTCAACATCCAAGGCCATCCAGGATGTGCATATAGTAAGCAACCCCTGATCGTTTTCTAAATTATGCGAAGAAAGATCAATGTGGCATTATATATTTGTGCTCTCTGTTTTAACTAATACATACATAGTTCAAAGCAACTAATGACAGACATGGATCCCTGCAGTCAGCAAGGTTGATGGAAGAATTTATGGAACTTGCCAGTGCTAATACAAAAGAAAATTTAGAGACTTGTGGAATACTCGGTGCTTTTCTTGTATGCTTAATATACATTTTCATTCTTTCATCTAAATCGTTAACTGATTCATCTTTTTGTGCAAGTTAAGATCAGATATCATCGACTTTCCACTATAGTTCATTGATGTTCAGATATTTAATTTCACCATAGTTGTTTCTTGGAACTAACCTGCAACAGTATGGGTGCAGAAGAATCAAACGTTCTATGTGACCACCCTGATAATACCTAAGCAAGAATCAACTTCAAATTCTGTATGTGCTTGTTTTCCTTTTGAATTACAATCCATTTATCAGTTCTTGGGTAATTCATGTTATGAATTTTATATTTCAGAAAGAATTTCTTTGCATTTTATCTGTCTTCTTTATTGGAGAGCTTTATGTTTCGTGCGAAATTAATGTACAATATCAACTTTCAGTGTCAAGCAATAAATGAAGAGGAGATTCATGCCATACAGGACGGACAGTCTCTTTTTCCTGTGGGATGGATCCATGTTAGTGTTTACTCCATCTATGTTTTTTCTTCTTTTTTTCTATTAGACCTATTAGATATCTTGTATGTAAATTGATTGGCATTGTCTATGTTAGTTGTAAGTATTATAAAACTAATCTCTTAGAACCTTGTAAGGATTCAATAGGGAGAGATCATTACAAATTTTCGTCAGTTATGAAGTTCACCATGAGGATGGAGTTAATAAATGTCATATCCAGAAAGTGAATGTAGGAGGTATGAGAATACTAAGATGAAAGAGGAGAAACACACCAAGCGATAAGATAATAAGTGGGTGCTTTATTATAAGGCTAGATGTTCTATTGAAGACAAGATGAGGGAGCATTAGTTGAGATTAGTGGTTCTATTAGGATAAGATGAGAGAGGAACCTCAATTGGTTCTACACTTCTTCAAACTCAACCCAAAAAAATAATGTCTGTCCTTTGATAGATCATGTCTAATATGGACTAACAGTCATGTAGCTGTAAAACATTAGAAGTTTGAAAGATGGCTATAACAGTTTAAAAAGTCCATTGATTAAAAATTTTGTGGATTTATTGTGATCCCAAAATCTTTTACTGAAATCTTAATTTAATTGAAAATTGACAGTTAAAAAGGTTAGGTAAATGGAATTCTCTAATTTGTGCTAGATTATCAACTAATGCATCTTTACTGTTCCTGTACATTGAGGGGATATTCTCCATAGATGCTGTTTTATCTTTCTACTTTTGTTTATTGGTTGTATATTATTCTTTCTTTCTTCCAGACACACCCTTCTCAGACTTGTTTCCTCTCATCAATAGATCTGCACACACAATATTCTTACCAGGTATGTGCAAACAGATTTTAAATTGTTTTAGCATGTAACTTATATCGTTTAACAAATTTTAGTGGGTAGAATATATAGCTCATACATCCCTTCAGAAAATGATAAATAGCTGGTAACATTCTACTACTTCAAACTCATCCCTCCTTACAAGAAAATATCCTTCTCACCTTTTCTTCTGTTTATGCAAGTTATGTAGCTGTGTGGAAGTCTGCCATAATGATTTAAGTACAGTAATCAGTTAACTGAAATAACCTTCTCTTTTACATCACATGAGGAAAAACATGGGAAACATAACTAAAATGGGAATTTGACCTCCTCCCTCAACTTAACCGTCTAACTTGTACGTTTCACCTTTTGATCCATTGAATAATACAAAATCCAAAATGCCTCCACAAGTAGTGTCATTTGTGCCCTCACCTGTTATTACATCAGTGTTTCTCTTAATTTATAGTATTTTTTAAGGTTGCTAGTTATGGTTCTTTCTTTTCTTTTTTTTTTCCTTTTTTTAATTAAAATGTATATGTCCATTCTACTATAAAAATTCCTCACTTATGGACTCTTTTTAAGTTCCTCTTTCTACACATGATCTTGTCTGCATCTTTATATGTTGGAATTGGAAGTGTGTAAAAATTATAGTATTTCTTTTTCTTAGGTCATGCTTCCAGAGGCAATTGCTATTGTTATGGCCCCAGCAGATCCTTCAAGGTAAGTTCTGGTACATAGATTGTCGTATGGATACCATAAATTTGGGTATGCCTTGTTATATATCTCATTTACATATGCCACGAGATTAAGCTGAAACAAACATGGATTAAAGAAGTTAAAGCTGAAAAAAACATGGATTAAAGAAGTTAAATTAGTTAGAAAGAAAAATATGTTGTTAACTAGTTAAGATTTTTGTAATCATTATATCAACTAATTGTAAATAAATCTAACCTTTAGAATATTTGTAACGCTTATATCAACTATTTGTGAAGTACGGATCATATAGTTTATATATTTGTAATCAGTATATCAACTATTTGTAAAATGGATGGCTCTTGAGCCGTCTGTAAAATCAAGTCATCAAACTAGGTTTATTACTATTTAGTAGTTTATAAGACTCAAAACTATCTAATACAAATGCACGTACACGTACATATGTACATATCATATACTCTCTTTAAAAGTACGAGTTTGGGAAAATCTTTCTATGGTCAAAATTATCCTTCACTATTTTCAATATTTCATTTAAATCTTGATATATCCTAGTCATACATCCTATCATAATCCCATATGAACTACCTAGCTCAACAATTTAAAAAAAAAAAAGATTAATAAAATACATGAAGCAACTCCGCAGTATTGGTTTGTTAATGTAAAGATCAAATGTTTATAATTACACAAAACATTGTTTCAGAACTTTAAACAACAAAATAAAATCTGAAAAGTAATAGTACCCTTCAAAGAATTTAAAATTTACAATTAATACTCTAACATTTCAAAAAATTTAGAAACACTCTCAAAAGTTCAAATAATGAAAAAGCACCCTGAAATTCTAAAATTTTAGAACTTACAAACTACAAAGATGAATTTAGGGGATTAACATCTGGCACCTAAAATTTTAACATTTAAAAAAAATAATCTTAAAGTTATAAAAATTGTTTAAAAATCCTTCAAAAGTTAAAATCACAAAAAATCTTAAAATTTTAAAACTTATAATCAGTATATATCAAATCTAACAATTATCAGTAGACCGATGAAAATTTGAATTTTACAAAAAACAATCCAAAGTTTCAATAATTATAAAAAGAACACCCTCAAAATTTTAGAGTTGCAAGAAATGTCCTAACATTTGAAAACTTACCACCAACACATGAAACATGGAAATTACAAGTACCCAACTTAAAATTTAAATTTTTAAAAAAATGCTCTCAAAATATCAAAATTTGCAAAACATACCCTCAAAATTCAAATTCACAAAAAAATGACTAAAATTTCAAAGTTTAGCAAAGAAAAGAGTAGTTATTTGATATTTTTTCACTAAGATATATAAATTTAACTTCCAATTTAAGGTTTACTATCCCTTTTTAGTATCTAAAAGTAGTCTAATTTTATCAAAAAGATAAATGTAGAGAAGGATTGATGTTAGCTTAATTAAAAATGAAACAGAAGAAATGAAAGAAACTATTTTTTGAATATTTTATAGAATAGCTTATTATATTTCTGAGTAAATTAGGAATCTTTAGAAGAGATTTTCATGAACTTTTTTTAGTACTTTTGTATGCTTATGTAAATGCTTTCATCATATAAAATTGTGCTAGAGTTAGTATTAATCTTTAGTTTATGATTTTTTTAAAAGTATATCAAGGATTAGGAACAAACTCTATATTCTATTTTGTGTCGTTTTAGCCCATTTTCAACCAATTATCTTGTCTTATTAGCTTTAATTATTCATCTTCCTTTTATAATGCTATTTTTTCAAGTGTTTTTCACTTTGGTAATACTATACTTTCTCATATCAAGCTTGGTTTCATGTCGGTCTAAATAACATGATAATTCAAATTTGATTTGGATTACATTTGTTTCATATTAATTCACTTTATAAATAATTAAATATGAAAATTTAAATTGAGTGTAGCTCATTTAAACGAACATCAAAGAAAATAAATAACCACAATGATAAAATTTAGAGACAAAGTGTGCAAAAATTATCAAAGTGGAGCGGAGGAACAAATTTTAGTAAGGAAATAAATTAAAAATACTTAATCATGGTATTTAAACACGTGCTTTGCACGTGCATAAAACCTAGTACACAACACAAACAGACATGCACGCTCGAATGGATGCACAAATACGCTTCTCGAACACTAATGACCGACATTGGAATAGAAAGCACAGTTGAGAGAAGGTAAATATTGTGAAAGTTGTCTGCCCTTGCCTCTAAGTTTCTTCTTCTTGATGACAGGAATTTTACTAAACTTCATCATTAATGAAAATTCTATTTAGTTTTGTAGAAGTTACAAATGGACCATGTTCCTGATGAATGGACACTGATGATGATTTTGGTGGCTCTTGCAGGAGTTATGGGATCTTTCGTCTAACAGACCCTGGAGGCATTACGATCCTAAGAGAGTGTTGTGAGAGTGGGGGCTTCCACCTCCACCCGCAAACTTGTTCTGATGGTAGTCCCATTTATGAGAGCTGCTCCCACGTGTACATAAATCCAAATTTAAGGTTTGAAGTTATTGATCTCCGATCTGCTCCTTCACCATGAATGAGTTCCAAATATAAATATACTAAGTGGAATGGGGTATCTGTATAAAGAAAGATAACCACCAATGTTCTATGCAGCATAGGTGATATTGGGTACAGAAAAATTAAAAATAAAAGGTGAAATAAAATGTATATAAGGAAATTAACTGTGCAATGTCAGGTTTCTGAAGAGTACAATTCCTTTGCTTGCTTGTATAGACCAAGTTAATCAGCACAACTGCTCAAACTCTGTACCAAGACCACTGATCATTTTGTCAACAAGATCGAGCTATTTGTATGCTCGTCAGGCTGCATATTGTTAGAATAATTTTTCACCAATTATAAAGCCACACATGATTCACGTCCCAAATTTGTGAAGTATCAGTGGGGTACCAGTTATATGGATCTATCCTTACTTTGTCTTGAAAGATGAAAACTTCATACTGGATTCAGCAACATCCAGTTACATTCCAAGGGAGCTAGCAGCACTAGGAGGAGGAGGAGGAGGAGGAGGAGCAGGAGCAGCAGCAGCAGCAGCAGGAGGATGATAATGTTTGTTTTTGTGATGAAATTGGATCTGACTTCTGCGTCGTAATTGCAATGCATGTTGAACGTGCAGCCTAGCCTGAATCAAATTAAGGGGATAAATTCTAGATGTCTATAAACATATTGCAAGCAATGCTCGTCTGCAGTTGGCTTCAACTTCTTCTGTGTTTTTGCTGTTAACCACAGGAGACTGCCCGAGAGTCCCTTCTGAAAGTGTGAAGCATATTTAGAAATTGTCTGGAGATTCAATGCTTATATGAGTTATATAAGAGATTCATCAGAAACTAATATTGTTCCTTCTTTTTTTTCTGATTAAGTTTTTCTTTGATACTGCCGCAAGCAGAAAATATAAAAAATATAGGAGGATTTTCATTAAAAAAAAATCAATGCAAATGGTTTGAAGGGCTGTCAAGAAGAATGTACCCAAGGATACAGCACGGGAGACTTATGGGTTAGGTTGGTCCAAGCTTAACCAGTGAAAGCCAGAAAAAGTGCTCAGAAATGCTAAAATAACTCTAGTTTACCTGCTCATGATGTCCATGTAGGAATGCTAGGAGACGAGAGTATGTGAGTATCCTGTGGATCGTGCTGGAACGTAAGCGCGGTCAATAGATCGGGTTCACTTGATACATGGTGTTCCAAGGGATTAGTAACTGTGGGACTAGTGCAAAACAAGGGGACTGGAGGAAAACTGGTAAATACAACTGTCATTCCTTCTATGTAAGCAAGGTTCGGCTGTAACTCGACCCCTCTTGATGATTTTAGCCAAAAACAAGAAGCTTGCAATAGTATTCAACATAAAGTAAAGTCGTTCCTCCATCTCCCACTTCCTGCTATCATTCTGACACAACCGAAACAAACACTACAGTTGTAAAGAATTGCAGAAACCGAAGGAATAGAGAAAATAAAGGTATGCATTCCTATAATATTATAGCCAATATAAGAGCACCTTTTACCTTAAAGAAATACTTGACCTTGGCATTTCAGAACAACTTACAATCAACGTCTGAAGAAAAACTAAACACATGCAGTACCATCTCATCAGTAAACTTACACAACGGTAGAAATTAATGAGACAGCACATTGGAGAATTTTGCATTTGAGGAGCAAGCCACTCCATGCACACAGTGTGCAACTCTCATCGCATGGTCAAATTAACAGAGGATAGCTAGTCCTGCTGCTGATGTATTAAGAATCAATAGCCAACTGTGCAAGCTCATAAGTGAAGGTGTTTCTGTGTAGGTTTGTAATGGCCAGTCCTAGTATGTCTCTTGTAATCATATTTCTTCAAGTGTTCAACTTTCTTCAACTCTACTGGTCTAGCCTATGTTATCTGAAGTCGCTGAGAAAGAAACTCTGCCAAACCCCCCACCAAACGACCTGATCCAGCTCCAACGATAATGCCTCTAATCCTTCAAACTTGGAGCCATCCTTGCCCTCGCCCTCTCCCAACACAATTTCTCAAAAAATCTGCTTCTGCTCCATCCTGTCCCCTTTTCTCCAAACTCCTGTCGCACATCACGTCTCCCTCTTTCCTCCCCACTTATCTCTAGCCTTCTTTGTATTTGTCAACACTCTTAAACACCGAACTCAAGGGTTTGCAAACCCCCCCTTGGAATTATTCTTTTTGAGGAACAATCTCAACTTCATCCTACATAAAAACATTTGCAGTGTTGAATACATCTTACATGAAATAAAGATTTGTGAAGATATAAGATATGAGAAATACCACGTCTTGTTGCACGGATGATTTATTTGTTGCCAGACATCAGCGCAAGAGCACTCACCATATACAAAATGAAACAACTTTGAATCCCTCAATGCAATCTCTCTCTGCATACTTGGATGACAATACTCAGATATCCTAACGTTCATAATTCTCAGCTGACCCCCAAGAAGTAGAAGCATTCATCAGTATGAAAGCTTCAAGTCAACTTCAGATTATGATGCAAGCCTCTTTTTAATTTTCTTCAAGGACAAATTTTCAAAACAAACCATTTTTGAAACTTATTTTTTAAAAACGATCTGTTTCAACTTTTTCCGCCAAAACCGACCCAGTTTCAGCCTCAGGGCTGAAACTGGGTCGGTTTTGGTAATTAAAGTTGAAACAGGTCGTTTTTGGGGAATATTTTTGCAAAAGGGTTAGTTTTGAAAATTTGTCCTTTTCTTCAATTACCTGCAGTACGAGTTCTGTCTACTACATAACTTCCTTGAGACTATCTGCAAGCCCTTTAAGCTCCACGTCCATTTGTTCAATTTGAGGATGGAGTCACCCAAAACTGAAAATTCATGAGTATGATTTCCAACTGCAATCCAGCTCCACTGTGGTTCCTTCTTCAACCCAACCACTTTAAGCTTCTTCCATACGGAGACTGTATCACTAAAGCCCCTTGTCTCTATACATGTGGTGAGCATTACATGCCCAGATGATGTTTGGAATCATCCGAACAAGAAGGCTGCTCTTCCCGCAATCTTTCTTTGTTTCTTCCATCATGCTTTGAGCATGGCAGTCCACATAACATTGTTGCCTGAATTGACATCCATTGAATATATAGCAGCCTTCTACAAGTAAACCGCCATGTCTACATGAGAGTCCAATAAATGTTATAGACTCAGGTGGCACATTCATGAGTCAAAGGCTATTAGCGCTAGCTTAAGCATGGACATTACCATGACATAGTCTATAAAATTAACACAAACTACATTGGCCAAAAACCATGAGTTTTGACTTTTAAGTTTCATTTCGATAAGCTGTTAGAAATTTGCTTAGTTTTAAGCGGAGGAATGGTTTATCAACTAAAACGAGGGTACTTGTCAATAAATCATGTCAGTGCAAATAAGAATTTGACAGTTAACAAAGTATTACGAACAAATATCCATTAAAAGTACAGTTGTCATTATTGCTGAATCGTCGACGTGTTTTTACAAGACATAATTATCCTGAATACATAGTAGAAAAGTAATCAAAATCCCTCTTACTAAAAAAATTTAACCAGAGCTTGTGTATATCAAGACTCAAGACTATATCATGATATGACAAACTAAAATGTTCTTATATGAAAATTTAATCTTTGTGTTTGTTAGGACTATTGAACTATGTAGTAAAATGTTATAGCCCATGTACTAAAATTGAAAATTGAAAATTTAACACATAGTTAGATGTCGTTGGGTCGAAATAAACGGAAATGAACAAAAATCATGGGTTATCTCCTATGAAAATTGAAAATTTTAAAGTACGCATAATCAATTACTATTGGGTTGAAACAAATGAAAATTAACAACAATCATGAGTGTCATAAAAAATTGCAAATTTTGAAGTATATGCATAATTAATTGTCATTAGATTAAAACGAAACAAACTTGATAAAACTCATGGGTTATAACCCATGAAAATCGACAATTTTGAAATATGCATAGTTATTTCCAATGGGTCCAAACATGAAAATTGACAAAAATAGTATCTAATTAGGAATGCATGAAAATGAGTGAATATTGTGGGTCATAGTTCATGAAATCGCGAATTTTGAGATGCTTATATCTAACTGTGAATAGGTAGAAGTAAACAATGAACAAACATCATGGTTTATACCCTCATGACAATTGCAATTTGTGAACTACACATAATTAGATGTCATTGAAATCAACGAAAATGGACAGACAGCGATGATTACAGCTCATGAAAATCAAGAATTTAGAAGTGATCACAATTACCTATCATTGGGTCGAAACAAATGAAAATTGGAAGAAAAAAATCGTGGGTTAAAATTTGAGACAATCGTCGTTATATAGCCATAAAAATCAGGAATTTTGATATACGCATGATTAATTGTCATTGGGTCTAAACAAACAAAAATGGACGTAAATTGTGAGTTATAACTCATGAAAATCGAAAATGTTGAGGAATGCATAGTTAATTGCCATTAAGTCAAAACTAATAAAAACTAATAAAAACTAATAAAAATGTAAGTTAAAATCCATAAAAACTACAAATTTCAAAGTACGCATAATTAATTGTCGTTAGGTTCAAAAAGAACAAAAATAGACAAAGTCGTGAATTTTAAAGTACGCATACTAAATGTCACTAAGTTGAAATAAACAATGGATAAAAAATCATGGTTTATAGCTTACAAAAATCACGAATTTTGAAGTACGTACACTTGATTGTCATTGCACTGAAACAAATATGAAATAAGTAAACATCCTCGGTTAACAGTGGCTAATTTTAAAATATGTAGTAATTTCCATTGAGTCGAAACTAATGACAATAGACAAAATTCCTAGGCTAAAGCCTATGAACGCTAATTTTGAAATGTGTGTTGCTAACCATTGGATCGAAGTAAAAGAAAATGGATAGAAATAGTGGGTTATTGAGCAAGAAATTCGCAAATTTTAAAGTATATATACTTAATTGCCCATGAGAATCGCCAAGGTGCCCATGAAAATCACGAATTTTAAAGTACACATAATTAAATGTCATTGCATCGAAACAAATGAAAATAGACAAAAAAATCGTGGGTTATATACTCCATGAAATCAAAATTTTAATGTGCACATAATTATTTATAACTGGGTTGAAACGAAAGAAATTTGACAAAAATCGTGGGATAGACCACGAAAATCGCGAATTTTGAAATACGTATAGTTAATTGTCATTGGTTTGAAACGAACAAAAATTGATAAAAAATCATGGGCTATATAGCCTATTACAATAGTTAGTTTTGAAGTATGTATAAGACAATAGTTAGTTTTGTAGTATTCATAACTAACTGATAATGGGTCCAAACAAATGAGAATTGACAAAAAAAAAGTGGGTTATATCCCATGAAAACACGAATTTTGAATTACTCATAATTAATTGTCCTTGGTCTAATGGACAAAAATTATAGGTTATAGCTCATAAAAATTTCAAAACGTACAAAAAATGGACCAAAACGATAGGTTATGAACCATGAAAATCTCAAATTTTGAAGTACGTATAGTTAATTGTCATTTGACTGCAATAAAATAATGGACAAAAATCATAGGTTATATAGCCTATAAAAATTGCAAAGGTTTGAAGTATATGCTCATTCAATCACCACTAAGCTAAAATGAATGAAAATAAACAAAAAATGTGGTTTTTTAGCTCATGAATCACAAATTTTGTTGTGTATCTAATAATCATTAGCTCGAAGCAAACTACAATGGACAAATACCATGGGTTGTAGCTTATGAAAACAATAATGTATGAAGAAAACATAGATTCCATTAGACCGAAATAACAAAAATGGACCAAAATTGATGGTTATAACCTGCAAAATTCAAGAATTTTGAAGTAGTCATAGTTGATTGACATTGGGTCGGAAAGAATGAAAACAAATAAAAAAACACCCATAGAAATTGCGAGTTTTGAGAAACACATAATTAATTCTCATTGGGTCAAAACGAACAAAAAGTAACAAAAATTGTGGGTGGTAGGTCATAAAAATTGCAAAGATTGAGGTACGCATAATCAATTGTTATTGACTCAAATCAAATGAAAAATTAGTAAAAAATATGTTTAATCCCATGAAAATTTGGAATTTTATAGTACACATAACTAATTGTCATTAGGTTAAATGAACAAAAAGGACAAAAAATATTAGTTAAAGACCATGAAAATTTCGGATTTCGAAATGTGCATAATTAAATCGGCATTAGATTGAAAATAACGAAATTGAACGGAAATCGTGGGTATACCCCATGAAAATAAATTTGAATTACACATTTATTTGTCATATGCAAAAATCGTAGGTCATAGCCTATTAAAATTGTGAATTTTGAAGAAAGAAAATTTAGATGTCATTGGGTCGAAACGAATAAAAATACACAAAAATCATGAGTTATAACCCATGCTCAGGAAAATCGTGAACTTTAAAGTACGCATACTTGACGCCATTTGGTTGAAAAAAATGCAAACAAACAAAAATCATGGTTATAGCCCAAAAATCTTGAACTTTGAAATGCGTGTACCTATTCTCATTGGGTTGAAATGAATAATAATGGACAATTTCTGGGTGAAAAGCCCATGAAAAGCGTGAATATTGAAGTATTTATTATTAATTGTTATTGTATCGAAACAAAAAAATGGATAAAAATCGTGGAATATAGCCAACAGAATTCGGAATCTTGAAGTATGCATTCTTAATTGCCTATAAGTATCGCAAAGATGCCCATAAAAATAGTGAACTATAAAATATACACACGTCTCTATGTCGAAATGAACAAAAATTAATAAAAATTGTGGGTTATAACCCACGAAGATTTAAAATTTTGAAACACAATTAATTGTCGTTTGGTTGAAAAGAACAAAATTAACAAAAATTATGAATTGAATAGTTAATTGTCATTGGGTCAAAAACGAATAAAATTGATAACAATAATGGGTAATAACTAATGAAAATCATCAATTCAAATTATGTATAATTAAATTCCAATGGGTCCAATTAAACGAAAATGGTCAATTGTAGTTGTAGCCTATGAAAACAGAAGATTTTGAAGTACATATAATTAATTACCATTAGGTTAAAACAAATAAAAATTGACAAAATTTGTGGGTTTTAGCTCGTGAATATCATGGATTTTGAAGATACACATAATCTATTTTCATTGATTCAAATGAAGAAAATGTACAAAAATCATAAGATGTAGCCATAACAATTTCGAAATGAGCGAAAATAAATAAAAATCATGGATTACGGTCCATGTAAATCGCAATAATTTGAAGTATGCATATTTACTTATCATTCTCCAACACAAATAAAAATGAGTAAAAATCGTGAGTTACAGCTCATGAAATTGCAAACTTTGAAATCTGTATATCTAATTGTCATTAGGTCCAAGCAAACAACAATGAACAAATATCATGGTTTAGAGCCAATGAAAATTGGAATTTGTGAAGTGCACATAGTTACATGCTACTGGGTCAAATTGAACAAAAATTGGTTGTTATAGCCAATGAAATCAAGAATTTTGAAGTAATTATAATTAATTTTCATTGGTTCTAAAGGAACAAAATTGAAAAAATCATGAGTTATAGTCAATGGAATCACAAATTTTGGGACACACATAATTAATCACCACTTGGGTCGAAATGAACAAGAGGCAAAAAATGTGGATCATCCTATTGAAGTACGAAATAATTAAGTGCTATTAAGTCAAACGGAACAAAAATTAACAAAATTCGTGTGCTATATCTCATGAAAATCGCGATGAAGAATGCATAATTAATTACCATTGGGTTGAAACGCATGAAAATTGACACAAATCATGGATTAAAGCCAAAAAAAGGTGAATTTTGAAGTATGCATCGTTAATTGCCATTGGATCAAAACGAATAAAAATTGATAAAGTTTGTGGGTTTATACCCATGAAAATCATTAATTTTAAAATATTCATAATTGACTTTCAATGGATCCAAACAAACGAAAATTAACAAAAATCGTGGATTATATCCAATAAAAAACGCGAATTTTGAAGTACAGATGATTAGTTGTCATTGCATGAAATGAACAAAATTGAATAAAAATCATGGGTTAATTTCGAAATTAACAAAAAATAGATA